CCGCGGCCGCTGGGGCCTGACACTCACCGTGGACGTGCAGGGCGACGTTCTGGCGGTCCTCGCCCACGGCACTCACGGCCACGCAGGAGTAGGTGCCAGCGTCGGAGGCCCGGGCACTGGCCAGCGTGAGGGTGCGGCCCCCGGGAAAGACCTGCCCCCCAGAAGGAAGCCCACGTGAGGTTATGCACCCCAAGGCCAGCTCCCACACCTCCCAAGCTGGCCCTGCTCCGGACGCCCAGAACCCCCAGGCCTCGGCACCTCTGCCGGCTGGCGGGCAATCACATGGGTCCTTTAAAAGGGCCCCCTGTAGTGTGCCGCGCCAGCACGGCCAGGGGTGAACCTGCGTGGGGGCGGCTGAAAGGCTTAGAAAAGACAGACAAGAGAAGGAAAGCTGGGTCTCGGTGGGACGCTGCTCCCCGAAAAGGAGACAGCGCCAGCGCCCACAAGCCGTGTCTTTATTTTATAGCAGAAGCCACGAGGCAAAGTAGGGGCGTGATCACGTTGTTTACAGCATTCTCATGAGTCTCAACCCTACCCAACTACATGCACCTAAACAATATCACAAGGCACGTGGACTACGTGTTCGGACCATAGGTTCAAGCTTATAACCACAGCCGTTGGCTATGATTGTGCTGGGAGGGCCCTGCCCTCCAGCTGGGACTTGCACCTGGCAGTGAGAGGACCCTGTCCTTTCATTAGTCTGAAGCTTGAACCTGGCCAAAACACTGTAACCGCGTCCCACAGCGGACAAGACAGTGTGTTGACATCCATAACAGATGGGGCATGAAACACTAGAAAACTCGTGAGCGGTCCTTAAAGGATGGAGTGTGAAACACGAGAGAACGCGTGAGCGGTCCTTAACAGATGGGGCGCAAAATACGAGAAAACTCGTGAGCGGTACGCAATGTGTCAAAAGGGACTTCTGGAGACCAGTGGTTCTGTAGTATTCCCACTCAGAATAATGACTTCAGGGGTGGGTCATTCAAGCTCTGAGGGATAGGTATACTAAGAGTGGGAGGGGGTGTGGGGTATATTTTAGGATAGAAGAGGCCTTGTTTCAGAACCTTTCAAATTACAGGGCCTACTCTAGCAGTGTAGAAAGGGTTTTTAATAAGGAACCTCATCTCATTATTTGAAAATAATGTTTACATACCCTAGCTGGTGTGGCTAGGTTGGAGCATTGTCCCATATAGCAAAAGGTTGCAGGCTCCATCTCCCGTTGGGACACAGACAGGAGACAACCAATCGATGTTTCTCTCTCACAGCAATAATTTTCTCTCTCTCTTTGCCTTCCTCCCTCTCTAAAGTCAATTAAACATATTCTCAGGTGAAGATTAAAAAATGTATTAAAAACTTTTAGGTAGTGTTTGCAAAGAGTTTGTAAGAACATTGAAGAAATGCCATATTATATATAATGTACCATATAATATATCTATTATGTATATACACTCAGCATTTGATTTCATTTATGCAAAAATATGCATTCCTAATTAATAATAGCTTAGCTTTATTGAGTTACTACGTGTCACAACAACCCTATGTTACAGACACTATTATCTCCATTTTTCAGATGAGGAAGCTGATGCACAGGGGGGTGAGGTAATTTTCTCAAGGTTCCACAGCCAGTGAAGGACAGATTTGAACCTTGTCAGTCACTCTAGAGCCCATACTCTTAACTCCTGTGTCAGACAGAAAGAAATCCGTGAAAATGTTCTCTGTCTTTGGGTGGTGGTTTATTTTCTCCTCTGTTCCCCAAGTTTTCTCTGTGGATTTACTCTAGAAGTTGAATGATACATTTTTTGAATAGGGAAGAAGGTGGGGTGGTGAAATTTGAAGGACAAACATGTGCTTTAGAACAAAACAACTCACCCCATTTCCTTCTCCACTTTTCTAAATTTTCCAGGACTGATCACCACAATTCGGCAGGTCACTGAGGCCCTGTCTCCGGAAGCTGAAGCCAGCACAGCGCTCATTGCAGGTAACAGGCTCTGAGCCAAACCCAAGGGACCCTCTGAGCTCAGGGGCCGTCTCGATCCAGACAGCCAGGAACCCATTGTGATGAACTAGGACTTCCCTGTGCGGGAAAGCACTGCAAATCCGAGGCCAGACCCACAAAGGGGCTCATTTCGGCACATAGGTTATCTCACACACACAAAGCTCTGAAAGACGCTCTGAGGCTTCTGGCAGAGGCACTGCCAGTAAATGATAGGTTGGGAGGTGGCCACAAGCAGATATAGGTGGGTATGGGCACTACACTCGTGTGTGGGGAGGGAGGAGGATGTGTGGTCTGCCAAGTGGGTGAGGAAGAGGATAGGAGGGAGCAGAGAACCCCCTGCAGGAGGCCATGGATTCAAACAACCCTTCCTGTTGGATAAGCTGTTTCCTGTTTGCCTCCTTCCTGTTTCTATCATAATCATCAGGAACTGGTTGAGAGAGAGTTCCATTTTATCAGAAGTCAAAAGCCTTGTGTTCTTAGCTTAAGTCCCCAGAGATCATGTCCCATGGGGACTGGGCTTGGTGGGGAATATCAATTTGGAAATGGCCACCAGTTAACTAGACCAGGAGGATCCTTATGAAAAGTGAGGGAGTCGTCTAGTTCAGGGGACCCCGTGATGACTGAGGTACACTGGATCCTAAAACATCTCTACATCTTCCCTCTCCTTTACAAGTTGTTATCACCGTGGTCTTCCTCACCCTGCTCTCAGTCGTGATCTTGATCTTCTTTTACCTGTACAAGAACAAAGGCAGCTACGTCACCTACGAACCTGCAGAAGGAGAGCCCAGCACCGTCCTTCAGATGGAGAGTGACGCAGCCAAGGGCAGGGAGAAGGAGGAATATTTCATCTAATGATTCCCAGGCCCACAGAGCTGGTCCAGGCTCCAGTGCTAACACAATGACGATTTATTAGGTGAAGGTTTTATCTGAAGCCAGTGAGCAGCAGTGATTGGTATGGGCAAACCTGAGCTCCTTCCAGGAGGAGGCCCAAATCCAGCATCACTGACGGTAGGGCCAGGGACATGGAGAAAGCTGCGTATGATGTCCTTAGACAGCGGCGTTTGTGACTGACCAATAAGGTAGGGCTATACCCGGCAACATTTCCGAATGTGCCCAGTCATCGTCAGGTTTTTTCCACAGGTCCAAGGGGAGGAGTTAGGTCACTGGCTGCTCCTCTGTTCCCTACCTAGTGACAGCCCCAGTGGAGGTAATGTCCACGGAAGTTCTTCCCAGAGGCTGATACCACAATAAAGGGCCAGGCCCTGAGGGGTAGGAGACTATATAGATACCTTACCTCCTAATGAATGTGCAACGTCTCTCAATCTGAGCCCATCCTTTCCCTATTTCCCAACCTTAATGCTATTTTTATCAGAATTAAAATTGTTCACTAAGAAATCATTCTCATGTACAATAAATACTTTTTTTTTTAATCCAAAATGTCTTTATTGGGATGTTTCCCATTCATCTTGGTTCAGGGTGTTCTTCCTGCTACCTCACCCCTTCTGTAAGCCTTGCTTTCCCTCCTATAGGCCGAGTGGTGGAGCAGCCCACACACAAACTACCGTGTGTGCGTGGCTGAAAACGTGGTGGTCTTACAGCACCCTGGGCATTCACACCCATGCCATGAAGCAGGAATCGGGGCTCCGCGCCAGGCACTTCTCCTTTCCTCTCCTCCTCTTCCGGAGAGGGATGAAGATCCTGAGCCAGAGGCATGTTGGGCAGCAGGGGGGGTGGGGGGGTATTATTACTGCCAGAAAGGCTCCTTTACATTGTGACATCCCTGCTTAAACTTTTTAACATTTCCTTTTGCTTAACTCCTTTGCATATGTCCCCTCCCAAGCTAAAAGAACTCGTAAGTTTTAGAAGTTCCCAGAACAATTTTTTTGGGGGGCGGGGGGGGTTGCGCTTGAAACAAAGCTGGTCCTAGAAAGTGTCATCATAAACATACCCTGGGAGATGGATTGGCTCGTTCTCCATCCTAGCAAGGGCCACAATTTCCCAGAACCCATTCTCTGTGTACACAGAGGGCACCAGGAACAGTCTACTTACCACTTTTCCCACTAATCTCCTGAATCAAGCCAAGAAGCTTCCTGGCTCTAACTTGTATCTCCGAATGAGGTGTTTAAAGGCACCATTGGCCCTGGCCAGGGAGCTGTTGGAGCATTGTCCTGTGCACTGAAGGGTCTCGGATTCGATCCCTGGCCGGGGAGCATACCGGAGGCAATCCATCAGTTTTTCTCTCACATCAATGTTTCTCTTCCCCCCTCTCCCTTCCTTTCTAAAATCAATCTTAAAAAAAAAACAAACCAAAAAAAACTTATCCTTGGGTGAGGATTAAAAGGCACAATTATTTTGGTAGAAATCATTAACTCCCCAGATATTTCTTTGAGATTAAGCTAAATCTTCTTTGAGGTCTTAAATATATTGCCTCCATCGTCCAAGTCCACCCAAAGTAAGACAAGAATTGGGGAGTCAATCTTGGCCCCAGGTTCCAGTTTCCAGCATTTCTCCACACAGAACTTTGGAGAAACTGAAGGTCACCCTGAACTTACACGAACTTCTATACTAAAAAACATTTTCCTCAAGTCAAACTGTAGGGCAAGTTACAAGTCTGTATCATTCCCTATTTCTAAGTTCATGTTCTGAATTCCTCTGGCATAACAGACTTTTAAGAATCTCAGCCGTCAGTGTGAGTGTCAACCTATGAACCACGGTTTGGTTCCTGGTCAGCACACACACACTCACACACAATCTGAAAGGGCGGTGAGTTAAGGTGGAAGAGTGTATAACAGGGATAAAATAAGGGGGGAATATTTCACACAATGGAAAAAAAATCTGAAAGAGCTTAGGAAGTAAAATTAATTTTTTTAAATGGCAGTGGCACCTATCTGAATTCTTGGTGGGATATAAAAGCTATAAACAGAAGAAATCTAAAAACAAGCTGAGTAATGAATCCTTGAAGTGAGGTGTAATGCAACTTCATCACTTTATTCAAATCTTCAAAATAGTCTTTATTCTACATTTTTAGTATAAAAAAATCCACAAGTTAAGTGCACCACAGTGTAGAGAGAGAGACATACAACGCTTAACTTCCATAACAGTCAATGGTACAGTCAAACATCACATGTACAGAACACAAAATTTAGATGAACTGAAATTATAAAAATAAAACCCAATTGCAAAAAACAAAAATTAAAATATTAAGGATCCCTGAAATATTCTTAACCCTAATGAGATTTCACTGGACTCAAGTCATTGTGTAGAGGCATTCACACGGCCCCATTAACCCAGCTTAGGAATTCCTGGGAGCCATGAGTGGCTGCATCAGACATTTGGACAATAAATGGTAACCAATTTTTTAATCTGACAACTCCCCTTAATTTGGCTCTAAAGTCATCAGGCTTATGAAATACATCCTCCTCCTTACCCTCCCCCACCCTCCCCCCGACACGCACACATTTTAAACAAACTGTTGTTTATAGTTTGTGTTGCTATCCTTTGTTCAAATGTTTTTCTGGCACCAAAGCAAATTTGGGTTTGGTTCATGTATGAAGAGAGCCTAAGGAGGGTCCAAAAGGCACCCTCCACTTTTGCCTGAGGAGACGCAGAAACAGAATCATGGGGTCTGTGCTTTGGGCACAGACGGGGTTCCAGAGGATCCTTGTGAAAGACAAGTTAAAGATGACAGGTGGGGACAAGTGCAAGGAGAGAAGGAAATGAGTCTGACTGGCTTTCTGTCCTGCACCACTGATTCGATGGAGATTGGCGGGAGGGAATGGAAGATGGGTTGGGCGTGGGATGTGGGACAAAAGGTGGAAAAGGCAGACAACTAATGCATTTCACTTAAAACAAGCAATATAAATCAAAGACTTAAAGATTAAAGACCAATCAGAACAATTTGGCAACTTTAATTCTTAGGAAGATCAACGTTCCCTCCAAACCTAATTTGATGTTTTATTACTAAAAGCAAAGACCAGTATGGTACAGTATTACTCCAGAGGAATTAAAGGAAGATTTTTAGGGCTGTTTCACCCACATTCATTTTATGAATGGATACCTCCCCTACCTCAAAATGCATTAGGGAGGTACTGCTACCATTACATGGTTCCTTATTAAGTTTGAAAAGTGCCTGAAATTTTGGGCACCAGAAAGACACCCCAACAACATGTGTCTTAAACTGCAACTTCAGGTTAATATGACTAAAGCAGTTACATTGTGAGAAGTGCTGAAGGTATGTGATGTCTTTCCCGGCACAGAGGTGGCCTTGGGTCTTCACCAGATGGTGTAGCCACCATCTGAACCACCCATGAAGAAGTTCCCCTTCCGCTGAGTTACGAGGACGTTGGCTCCCTGCATGACTGCAAGCTGAGCAGCATTGGGAGGGCATCCAGGGGGTGGAGGCTGAAAGGAAAAGACAAGATTGATTGGGCATAAGGCAGCTGATACAAGGGAAGTGGACACAGGTGAAACAGAAGACCTGTTAGGAAGATGGCAGCGTGCTGACCAAAAGCATCTTTAGGAGCTAGCCGTACCACCCATCTGGGTTCTCAAGCAGATCCGTGAACCCAAAGACACAAACAGGAAAGGATGCACTACTTACTCAAAGGGCTCCAGCTTCAAGATAAGGCCTGTGGATACCTTCTGACGATGCGCAGCCTAGACCCAGTGGTTTCCTACCCACATTCCAAAAACAGGGATGGGGTGCCAGGTCCATGGCCCTATACCACAGGGTCCTCAATATTTTTCAGTGACGATGAGATAACCAAAAGGATCTACCTAATGACACCGTTCCCACTTCATCTGCAACATGTGGTGAGTAGACAGGCCTCAAGGCCTAGCAAGGCCCTCAGACCGAAGGGTGGCGGGTAGATTGGCGGGAGGGAATGGAAGATGGGTTGGGCGTGGGATGTGGGACAAAAGGTGGAAAAGGCAGACAACTAATGCATTTCACTTAAAACAAGCAATATAAATCAAAGACTTAAAGATTAAAGACCAATCAGAACAATTTGGCAACTTTAATTCTTAGGAAGATCAACGTTCCCTCCAAACCTAATTTGATGTTTTATTACTAAAAGCAAAGACCAGTATGGTACAGTATTACTCCAGAGGAATTAAAGGAAGATTTTTAGGGCTGTTTCACCCACATTCATTTTATGAATGGATACCTCCCCTACCTCAAAATGCATTAGGGAGGTACTGCTACCATTACATGGTTCCTTATTAAGTTTGAAAAGTGCCTGAAATTTTGGGCACCAGAAAGACACCCCAACAACATGTGTCTTAAACTGCAACTTCAGGTTAATATGACTAAAGCAGTTACATTGTGAGAAGTGCTGAAGGTATGTGATGTCTTTCCCGGCACAGAGGTGGCCTTGGGTCTTCACCAGATGGTGTAGCCACCATCTGAACCACCCATGAAGAAGTTCCCCTTCCGCTGAGTTACGAGGACGTTGGCTCCCTGCATGACTGCAAGCTGAGCAGCATTGGGAGGGCATCCAGGGGGTGGAGGCTGAAAGGAAAAGACAAGATTGATTGGGCATAAGGCAGCTGATACAAGGGAAGTGGACACAGGTGAAACAGAAGACCTGTTAGGAAGATGGCAGCGTGCTGACCAAAAGCATCTTTAGGAGCTAGCCGTACCACCCATCTGGGTTCTCAAGCAGATCCGTGAACCCAAAGACACAAACAGGAAAGGATGCACTACTTACTCAAAGGGCTCCAGCTTCAAGATAAGGCCTGTGGATACCTTCTGACGATGCGCAGCCTAGACCCAGTGGTTTCCTACCCACATTCCAAAAACAGGGATGGGGTGCCAGGTCCATGGCCCTATACCACAGGGTCCTCAATATTTTTCAGTGACGATGAGATAACCAAAAGGATCTACCTAATGACACCGTTCCCACTTCATCTGCAACATGTGGTGAGTAGACAGGCCTCAAGGCCTAGCAAGGCCCTCAGACCGAAGGGTGGAGGGTTCATCAGGTCAAGGGCATGTACCTCACTTGCAGGCTCAATCCCCACCCAGGAGGCAACCAATGGCTGTGTCTTTCTCACATCAATGTTCCTCTCTCTCTCCCCCCCCTCCACTATCTTTAAAAATCAATGGGGGGAGGGCCTAGCAAGGACCATTTGGACTCTAAATCCCATGTATAGGGAAACTAAGCAGGAGACATAACTAAACTCCCTAGTTTCTTTCTAAAAACGACTTAATAGAATCAGCAAGGCTCCATGCTGATGGCACATATTAAGTAAATGCTATGGAATGAATACAGAATGTTACTAGACCAGTTCACTGTACCAAAGTGCACTGCACAAGCAGCAGGTAACACTCCTAGGACAGGAAAACAAAGGATCTGGTTCACTCAGACCCAGTGAATGTTCTGGATGCTACTGACCTGCCACAGTTCTCCCGCCCTCTCAGTCACTTTCTGCCTGACTAGTGGCTGTCACTGGTTGCACTAATACCAGCAACTATTACCCAACGATGGTGAAAGGATGAATATGTAGTCACTTCAGAAAGTTAAAATACACAAGGGCAGAGTTTTTTCTGATAAAGTCATACTCACAGGAATGTTGCCAGCAGTAGCCCCAGCTCCGAATCTGGCACCTGCATCATACCCGCCTTCCACCAGCACTGTTGAACCAGGTGGATAGATGGGGCCGACTGGATAGTAAGCCATGGGGATTGTGGAGCCTAAAGGCCCAACAGCCACAGACTGGGCGGCCATGGGAAGATACAGGGAGGCGCCAGGAAATGCAGCTGACATGGTGGGGACGGTGGCAGCCCCTGGGTGCACAAAGCTCGGACGATAGAGCTAGAAAAGGCAGGAGAAGGCCAAATGTTACTTGGTGACATTCCTATTTCAGATTTCATTGCCGTTTCCTCTTTAATGAGTCACTTAATTCTTCTTATTCAGATTATAATCTAGAAGTTATACAAGTTGCCTTTCCCCTACCACTCAATAGTCTCTCAAATCACTTCCTGCTATAGCTAACCTTGAGCTCAAAGAATGCAAACTCATCTTAACCTCAGCCTGTGCCAAATAATGTGAAATAATCAGAGAATGCATTCTGAACCCAACAGAGATTGATGAACTATATGGCATGTTTTAGATTATTCATTATTCATTCTTCTGTTTGCCAATACATGGAGTAAGACAGCTAAGGGCTGAAAATGGGACCCAAAAGCATTCTCAACCAGTTCAAGTCCAGTAAACTGGAAGCACCTCTGAGTAGGCAGGCGGAGCATCGGTATAGGGTGGAGCCTGAGGGAGATGCAAGGTCTGAGGGTACACTGGGTTCCCAGGAGGCTGCACAGGGTAGGTTGGCTGCGTTGGATATTGACCTGGAAGACAAGAAAAAATGCACGTGGCCTGCCATACAGAGCCACCAAGGGAGGGCCTATCGGGTAGTAAACTCGTGGGAGCAAGCAAAAGGGGGTTTGCAAAAGCCGACTGCCCTGGAGGGCCTGCTTCCTGGAGCCAAGGGGGGAAAGTATGCTCTCCGCTTAAGCCGTCCCTCCTCTCTGACGCTAGGTCATCCACGGGCAAGAAA